TAGATAAACCCGTAGGCAGACTCCTGCCATCTAGTTTGCACTTAAATGAAGCCTTATTAATAAGAGTCATGGCTGCTTAAGGGTAATGGAAACAAGCTCCCACTATTAGAATTGTGCCAATCACTTGGTCCTTGGGAAAAGGCTTAGGTCCTACAGAATGCTGTCTCAGAGTCATGCAGAAATGCCTCCCTTTCTTCACCTGTGGGCCACATATGGTTAGGAAAACAGAATGAAGAGGGAGTGTCTGAGAGGCAAGGAAAAGGCTCATCTGATTCTAGAAGCAACTAAAATTGAATTCTGTAGACACGAAAGGTTCAGAGGAGAAGATAGCAGCCTTTCATCTGTATTTTTACATTTTACAAATGTAAAATAGTATCATATAGTTAGTTTCAGTTATGACACACAAAATCAATCTTGGAAGTCCCTAGAAACATGTTTCTTAGAAAAGTAGTTGAACAGAACTAACTTGGAGAAAAACAAATGTCTGTGGAAAGCATCCTGCTGGGGCTCGAGCTGGAGTGCCAACAGGGTCTTGGGTCTCACTCTTTTGCCTTCAGATCCCAGATGCTGTGCATGGAACAGAACAAATTACAAATATGCATACCTGCCTGTGGTGAACTTCAACCCACCCTACAAAATAGAAGAGCTCACCTCTGCCTGATTTATACTTTGGCTTTCTCTGTTGGATTTTGTTTCATAGTCTTTAATCTTCTCTTCCTTTTTGGTGGTTATAGGAATTTGAACTCAGAGCATTGCACTTGTTCAAGAAGATGCTCTACTACATGAAATATGTCCCTAGACCATCTTGTTTTAGGTTTTATTTATTTATTTATTTGGACAGGATAGCAAGTTATCTGGGCAGAACTCAAACCATGATCCTGTTACCTGTGCTTCTTCTAGTTGTGAGTACCACCACACCCAGCTGAATTGTTCAGCATTTCTAACTTGCTAACTTATTGGTCTTGCTAACTTTTGTGCCTGGGCTGGCCTCATACTGCTATCTTCCTTACCTGTGTCCTGAGTAGCTGGGATAACAGACATGGCTCACCTGGCCTGGCCAAAAGAGCTTTCTTTTGGGAAAAGAAGTTTTCTAAAGCTTGAGATAGTAGTATTGGAACAGGGGGGATTAAAGAAAAGTAAAACCCAGAGATGTACCCATCTGAACTGTGATGTACCACATCTGACTTTTAATTTTTTTCTTAAACTAATGGAATATATGTTTGTGTGTGTGTGTAAGAACTATCTAGGCTATTAGATTTTTGACTCTTAAGTGTCCCCCAAAGACCCATGTGTTAAATCATGTCTCCAAACTGGCACTGTTGGGAGCTGGTGGAACTTGTAAGAGCTGAGGCATAGAGGGAGGTGTTTAGATTATGAGGCATATGTCCTTGAAAAGGATAATGGAACCTCAGGCCCTTCCACTTCCACTCTTTTGCTTGCTTGCCACCAGCTAAGTAATTTTGCTCTCCCACACCCTCCCAGTACATCATGTTTCCTAGCAACAGAGCCAACAAATTTGGACAGAAATCTTCAAGACTATGAGCCCAAATAAACAACTCTTCATAAGCTGGTTATCCACAGGCTTTGATTTTAGTGCTGGATAGTTAAGACATGAATTAACTTGAAATATAGAAGCTCCCGATTAGAATCACTCCAAACGTGGATCCACTTATGAAGAACTAATCCTAACAAAGTGTTTTTTTTTTGTGTTCAGACATTGGTGACTCATGCCTGTGATCTTAGCTACTCAAGAGGCTGAGATCTGAGGATTGAAGTTCATAGTCAGCCCTGGCAGAGAAGTCTATGAAGTCTCAGAGTATCTTCAGTTAACAACTGAAATGGCGCTGTGGTTTAAAGTAGTAGAGCACTAGCCTTGAGCACAAAAGCTCAGGGACAGTGTCCAAGCTCTAAGTTCAAGCTTCAGGACTGGTGCGTGTGTGCGTGTGCACGCATGCATGCACACATGTTTTTTTTGTGTGTGAATTGTGTGAAGAGGGTTTTAACCTGGGCATGGGTAGTTCATATCTAATCTAGTTACTCAGGAGGATGATATGTGTGAAACCAAACTGAACAAATAAATTAAAGAGATTCTTATCTCCTGTTAACCAGAAAAACTCCAGAAGTGCAATTTTGAGAAAAAAAAAAGGCCAGGCAAGAGTGTTAATTTAGAGTGTTAATTTCATTTATTTATGATAACTCAGAGAATAAATCACCTTCCACTTGCCTTGTTTTGCAGTACTATCAGTTCTTTCTCTATGGTTTAACACAAGGTGCCATTTTACCTTTAGTGACCCACGTTCAATAGCTGGTAACTACAAGGAGTTCTTTTTCTCGAATACTTTTCCTAGTCGCTAACATTTCGTGCAATTATTTTCGTTACATTTGAAAATGACCAGATTTAAATTTTGCCACAGGATTGTTTTACATTTCAATAAAGGAGAATACCTAGGCAATAAGAAAATGCTCTCCAATTGGGACACCAATGTCACGTGAATGATTTGTTCACTCTTACAGTCATTTATTTATCCTATGCTGTTGGAATACCAACCAGGTATGAAGCATTTTTGGTCTCTGTCATCAGGGAATTTATGCTTTAAATGGAAAGAGAAATATTGTGACATAGCATAAGTACTATCACAGAGAAATATATAACTACAAAGTAGGATAGATATTATGAGGTAAAATTATAGGATCCAATCAGCATATTTCACAATGAGTTCTTCCTAATTTGTAGGAGTCATGGAGGTACCATTCATTGAAATACTGAATGTGTATAATGACAGGACTTCAGTAGAAATATGGCTTCATCTTAGTGATACAAGCCTGAGACCAGCAAATAAGTATATGCAACAAACACTTGGATATATGGAGTATCTGGGAGTAAACATAAATTTAAGAGGCCTTGATTTCCAGATGATAAATTAGAAGTGAAAATGAATTTAGAAATAGAGCTTAAAAAAGGAAAGATGGTCTAGATAATTTCCAGTATTTGAAAGTCTAGAGAGAGAAGATAAGTTGACAAAGATTAAATGGCTTGATGATGAAGGTAGATCTCCCTGGAGACTCATGATGCTTCTTCGTAGTCTTTCTTTTGCTTAGCAAAAGCCTGAGCATTGTGTTTGCATGTTGGGCTTATACATCTGTCCCTAAGGAAAATGAATAAAATGAAAGAAGTTTGCTGGCTTGCATGATGGTAGAGCTGGGGTAGGGCAGGAGACATAGAAGGTAGGCACTACCACCTCTATCAAAAGTTGTTGATGCCTGAGAGAAGCAGGACTAAGAAATGGAAAAATATATCTAATGCTTTTTAGGTAACAGATGGCCAGTAGTGTTCATAGCAAAAGATCCATCCGTGCAGGGATGGGGCAGGAAACCAGGATCTCTTTAGTTGCTAAATTCAAGCAAACTAGCCATGAAGAGAAAGGCAAAAAGGCTGGAGAGAGAAGCTGTGGCTGGAGGAAAGCTCTGTGTTTCTTTAAGGTGAGAAGACTAGAGAGTGTTGACGGAAAGGTTACACAAGATAAGAGGTAGGTTGACTCTGCCTGGGAAAAGATAAGCAGAGGGATGAGCATTCTCTCAACATACTATATTTTCATTTTCAAAAGGCCCAAAGGTGATGAATGCCTAGATCATGAAGAAATCCAGACAGTCTTTATTTCCCTGGTGGACAACTCTAAAGGGATTCATGTTTGGGAAAGCACAGGATACTTTGGGCCAGGACACTGAATTTGCTTTGCTCAGCTCCCATTTGATAAATGATGTGTGTTACAGCTTTCTGAGAATATCCACTTAAAATCACAAGTTAGTTTACCTCTGAAGCCGTGTACATTTTATAAACCATCTTTCCCTCTCAAATGTTTGGCAAATGTTGGAGAAATGCAAATTGAATTTCTTTAGTAGACACAACAAAATTATAAATCTGCCAAAGGGAAAAAATAGTACTTTTATTCAGAATGTTACAAGAAATTCTTTTAGTTAAAAATTATGAGTAATCTTTTATTGTACTATTAGACACGTGTATTGAAAAACGCAGCAATTTTCTCCATAGAAGGAAACACGCGGGACTCACAAATTGAGGGTATCAGGGAAAAAACAAAACAAAACATTTCAGTACTGGGGTTTGAACTCAAGATCATACTGTCTTCTAAATAGCATAACACAGAATCAACTATGTATTCTCTTAGGTTTCTGGCAACTCTGAGCAATTCTTCTTTATTGCTTGTGCGTGCGTGTGTGTGTGTGTGTGTGTGTGTGTGTGTGCGTGTGTGCGCGTGTGCTGGGCTTGAACTCAAGCCAAGCCAGGCGCTGTTCTTTCTACTTTTTCGTTCGGGCTGGTGCACTACCACTTGAGACACAGCTCCACGTCTGGCTTTCTGCTGGTTACTTGAAGAGTCTCACGGACTTGGGGTGGGCGGGCCTTGACTCGTGATCCTCAGATCTGAGCTTCCAGGACAGGGGGGATTGCCTACGGATATGCTAAAAATTAACTCAGAAAGTGAGGTTACTCCCATCTCGTGCTTCACTTTAAGTGTTTCTCTTCGTCATCCCAGTAACTAGACATGTGCAACTTTTACTGGTGGCCTGACCCATCAAACTACCGACAGTGGGACTCTTCACTCAATTTGCATTTCAGGCAACAGCGTATAATTTTGGGTGCGTACAAGTCATGAAGCCCTTAAGTATGTTACACCGGATATACCGGCACTAAACACATTACCTTCGATGGAGCGCCCCGGATTTGATCTGCCAAGCTCCCTCCCGGACACCTAGCACTGTCCCCCTGTCCTCCCCTCGGTCGGGCCGGGTACCCCATCCCCACCCCTGGGCGCTGCTTTCAAACTCAGGACCCCCAAGCTCGGCTCGGCCGCGCCCCCTGATTGGCCGAGCGCGCCCGCCACCCGCCGGTCGCCGGCGTCACGGCTCCCCGCAGCCCCGGCCCGCCGCCGCCGCCTCCCCGGCAGCCCCGCTCGGCGCAAGTGCGGCGCGCAGTGGGAGGGGGCGGGCGCGGCGGAGCGCGGCTGGCGTCGGCCCGGCCCGGCGGGATTAAGTTTCCCGGTCACGCGTGAGTGTCGGTGCGCGTCTGTCCCGCCGTGACTGCAGAGGGGAGCGCGGGCCACCCCGGCTCCTGGTCCTCTCGTAACCCAGTCTGTCCGGGGCACCCTCGGCTGAGCCTGGGTAAGTAGCCCCTAGCCGGGCCTGGGAGGCCGGAGCGCGTCCCCGCGTCCTGCGTGCGCGCCGGCCGGGAAGGTGCGCGGGTGCCCGGGGCTGGGCGCGCGGGGTAGGACGGGGGACGGGGAGGGGCGGGGGGTAGCGGGTGGCGGCCGGGGTGCGCTCGCTCCACCCCGCGCGGCCCGGAGAGGCCCGTGGCGCGGTCTCCTACATAAAAGGATGGGGTCTGGAAGTTTCCTTTGCTCCTCCCCAAATCCTCTGGGCACCACTCCCTCCCTCCCCCCTTCACTGGCTTATCCGAAATGGTTCTAAAAGTTGTTTTTTTGTTTTTGTTTCCCCCACACCGAGGAGTGTGTAGAGAAGGTGCCGGGGGGTGGCAGGCGGGGGGGGGGGGTGGCCGAGCGGGCAGGGCCTTCTGGGGGTGCGCAGCCTGTTGCTCTCCGCCCCCTGTGCAGAGGGAGGGGAGGGGGACCGAGAACGGCCCCAGTCTAGCGCCTTTAGCTTTTGATTGTGTGCGGGGCGGGCGGGGGGGGGGGAGGGGGGGCGTCTCCCCCGAGGCGGAGCCACTGATGGGTACCCCACCCTCTCGGTGCCCGGGGCCGGGTCATCCGCTGTGCGTGCGGCCGGCCTGGGTCTGCGGTGTCCGTTCCCTTCCCCAGCGGATGGGCGTCTTTGTCCGCTGCCTGGGGATGCCCGGACGTCCCTGAGGGGCGCGCCGTTTGGGAGCCGCTTTGTGTCCGGGGGAGCCGGGCTTGTGCCGGGCGGGTAGTGATGGTGTCACGTTTTTTTGTTTGCCTTCCTGGCGGAGGCCCCGAAAGAAAGGCCTAGTTCTCTGTGGTCCTGGGGAATCACCAGGCAATGCCAAGCTGGGGCTGCCGGGGAGGGAGGCCCTGGGCGGAAGGAAGGTGGTGGTCGCTGGCAGAGGGGAGGCGAGGAAGTCTGCGTTCCTAATGGGGGCGCAGCTGCTGAGGTTGCTGTGCGGGGAGGGGAAGATGCCGGCGGTGGGAGCTGTGTGTGTGGATGCGGACGCAGGTGCGGGTGCGGGTGGAGGCTCGTGTTTCCTTAGTATCCTCAGATGACGGTGCGGGACCGTGACTTCACCAGCCGGCCAGGAACATCTCTCATGTTCTTTAAATGTCCCGAGGGAAAAGAATCTGAACAGTACCAGCCCCTCCCGCGCCCACATCTTGTACTGGTGGACAGCTGTGCTGTAAACATCCCCTTTGGGTTTTCGTTTGCAGTCATGTAAGTTGTGTTTTATAAAAATAATTAACATCTAATTTGCAAACGAATAAGATGATGGTGCTCGGGAACTTGGGAATGTGTACTGGTTTGATTGGGTGGGAGTTGATTGTGATGAACTTTTATGTAAGGGTCAGTCATCTGAGGTCGTGTATTCTATGCGTTAGTGGCTGGTTGAATGTTGATAAGCAGTTGGTTTAAAAAGCATGACAAAACTTAGAAGTGCCTTGGCTCAAACTTCTGATATAATACAGAGCTCTGGGTACATTCACCCTGTACCCCCTTGTGTGCCAATTAAGTAATGCTATTTTTGGGATTCCCAAATTCTCCACGTTTCATCTCTATCTTGTTTGGTAAAAATAAAATCAGACAGCATGTATACTTTTAACATTGTATTCTTGTTCTTCCCTATCTGCTTTCAGTATTTCTTCTTTCTATCCCTTTTGCTATTTCTGGTTTCCTCCCTTTATCCACTTTCTGTGTGTGTGGGTATGTGTGCACACACACACTGGTCCTAGGGCTTGAACTCACGGCCTGGGCACTGTACTTTAGCTTTTTTACCCAGGCCTAAAGTTCTACTTTGAGCTACAGTTCCACTTCCAGCCTTTAGGTGGTTAGAGAGGTGGTTAGAGGTGGATTATCCTAGCTTCCAAATCACAATCCTCATTTCAGCCACCTGAATAACTAGGATTACAGGTGTGAGCCACAGGCTCCAAGCACATCCACCTTCTTTAATCATTGAAGTTGATATTTGTGGTTTGGGAAGGGATGCAATGTTTAGTGTTTTTACTGTGCTCCAAATTCCTATTGCTTAGTGATCTGCTTGGCCCTTGAAGATACGTTTGCATTTCAGATCCATTTTAAATGCATATCCCCACTGTAGTAAAGGCTGTCCTCAGACTGCTGAATCTTTGTTATTGGGGGTGACTGGAGAGATTCTTGGAAATTTAAAATGTCGTTTTTCATGGATTCAGCCCTCATTGGCATTTCCAGCATTTATGTGTTGAAGTGGGCAATCTCTGCTTTACAAAGAAATGTCTAAAGTGAAGATTCAGTGATTTAGAAGATGCTCAAGGACTGAGTTGCTGGAAAGGTAACTGTTCTGAGTTAGTGGTGGATTATTTTCTCCAGATTCATCCCAAATCTGATTTCATAGACCTGACTCCAGTTGAGCTGCAGATTGGCCTCATTTTGTATCTTCACAACATGTCCAAAGTACCCTGTGAATTTCATCAAATATTTTGAGGCAAAGATGGACTGGATATGCCTCCAAATGTGCTAGAGCAAACAATCCATCTGCCAAAGAGATACACACTTCACAGTGTAGAAGCAGATGACTCTCAGTGAATTCAGGACTGCTTGACGCCAATATTCCCCAGTGATATAAAATCAACACTTGGGAGGCTGAGGCAGGAGCATTTCAAGTTTGAGGCCAGTCTGGGCTACATATTTATAGTCTGCTTCACATACCAATACCACAAAGCACATAAAATGAACCAACCAAACGAGGTCGACATTTGTCTTAAAGTATGATTCATTTGCAACAAGAAATGTGTTGTTTTCTCTTGTCAATTAGTATGGTGCACAGTAGGGAAGCGGTGTTTAGCATGGTAAAATTGATACATTACAATCATATTTTCTAGGGTTCTGTGTTGGGAACTACTAAGCAGATAGATCTTCCAGATAAGTCAATGCTAAGTAACCAGTTGCCTCCCTGTAAATTTTTTTAAAGGAGTTATTGAATTAGTAGATATGTTGTGTTGGATTAGGTTCTTTTTATCTAGATGTCGCTCTCTTGCAGTAAAAGTACTGGGCTTCTAAGACAGTAGATCAATATGGGGTTCTAGCCTACTTTAGGCTCTTCAGCAAGAAGCAGAGAGACTTCTGTCTTTAGAGGAAAGTGAAGAAGATGATTTGAGTATGAAATAAGCTTTTTTTTTCCTTGCATTGGGAAATGGATGTAGTAGATGTAGACTAAGAAGTAGGTACTAGAGTAGAATTCTATTTGTGCCTTTCTAGTGTAGAATAGAGAGTTTAGCTAGGGAAGATAAGGTGATAGAAAGTAATGAAGTATATATAGTCAAAAGTTCTGATTATACTTTTGATGTTACCAGAAAGTCTGCATAGCTAATCAGTCTTAGTCCTTGCATCTGGCAAAAGAATTATTCAGGCAAGAAGAAAAAGTAGTGAAATATAACAGAGAAAGGAGATTATTATGTGGTAGAATGCCATGGGAATATGACACCACCATGGGAATATGCCATCTTCTGGGTACAGACTCATTTTAGGTTTAAACAGAGGAAGAATTAGAGTCAGGAGACAAAGATATGCATAGTTTTAAGGATCCTCCTTGCAGGTGTGCCTGGATGGTCATTCTTTCAGTTCTGGCTCTGCTGGGCTCTAGAGAAGTTGTTTTTGCTGTCAATGAGGAGGTGCCTCATTTCCATAAGATGACTTCTCTGGCTCCATGGTGCAGCCTGGAGCTTCAAATTATCCTCATTTGTGGAAGATCGTCCTGCAAGACTCTGCCATTCCCTGTGGATAGTTGTAGTCCTTTGTCAGGAAGATTGTTATCAGGAAGTTAGATCTTGCAAAGTGACTGTAAAGAGAATGGCTTAGAACAATGACAAACACAAAACAGAGGCAGAGATGCCAGAAAAGACAGTTTAAGTACTTGTTACCAATATTCTTTCAATAAACTGAAGCTAGGTATAGTCTTGTAAAGACAACGGCCTTAGCTTTTGGTTTCAAATCTTAATGAGATTGCTTGCAGGAAATTCCTATCTCTAGATCCACTCTATAGGATAAAGATCACTTGTCAGCCAGCTCCTGTGGCTCATGCCTGTGTAATCCTAGTTACTGAGGAGGCTGAGATCTGAGGATCATGGTTCAAACCCAGCCTGGGCAGGAAAGTCCATGAGACTTACCTCCAATTAACCATCAAAAAAACTGGAAGTGGCGCTGTGACTCAAATGGTAGAGTGCTAGCCTTGAACTGAAGAGCTCAGGGACAGCGCCCAGGCCCAGAGTTCAAGCTCCACAACAAAATAAATAAATAAGTAAAAATAAAAAAATTGTATACATATACATATATATGTATATATCACTTGTGAATTGCTGTCTTGCTTCCAATATTTTCTCTTAGAGACCTTGTAAAACTATTTTATTCTTTATTATATACTTATTTATGTATTTATGTATTTATTTTGCCGGTACTGGGGCTTGAATTCAGGAAGGGCCTTGTGCTTTCATTTGTCTTTTTTATTCAAGGCTGGTGTTCTACTACTTGGATCATACCTCTACTTCTGGCTTTTTGGTGGTTAGTTTGTGTTGGGTCTTCGTCCGTCCCACGAAAGACGGACAGGGTCCGAGGAAAGGTAAGTGCAGCGCTGTTCCCCAGCCTCCCTCAGCCCGGGAGACAATCAGACACAGCGGGGAGCCAAATCCAGCAGGTAGAAAACTCCTTTATTAACAGAGAGCAGCCCTTTTTAAAGCCAAAAAGGGCGGGTGGCGTGGCAAGGGAGGAAGAGGAACCAATCACTGTCAAGGTCACACCCTATCATGGACCTGAGCCTTCATGGGCTGGTTAGGCTGATTGTAAGATCACTTGGGCTCTGCCCACTCTACTCTCTCCCAGCACCATCTTTGCTGCCCATGTGCTCTGCAAATTTGAGATAGGAATCTCATGGACTTTTCAGCCCAGGCTGTGATCTTAGCCTTGTGTGTAGCTAGGATTACAGGCATGATCTACCAGTTCCCAGCCTC